CACTGTCTGGTATATCAACTTGGATCTTATCTACTGTCTGGTACATGAACTTGGACCCTTTCCACTGTCTGGCATATCAACTTGGACCCTTACCACTATCTGGTATATCAACTTGAACCCTTTCCACTGTTTGGTATATCATCTTGGACCCTTTTTCCATTATTTAGTATATCATCTTGGACCCTTTTTCCACTATCTGGTATATCAACTTGGGTCCTTTCAAATGTCTGGTATATAAACTTGGACCCTTTCCACTTTTTGGTATATCGACTTGAATCCTCTTCCACTGTCATCTTGGACCCTTTTTTCACTGTCTGGTATATTATCTAGACCCCTTTTCCACTCTCTGTTAAAATATTACCTTGGACTCTTTTCCACTGTATGTTGATTTATTACCATAGACCCAATTTCCTCTGTTTATTGACTTCCACTGGCATTTAGTTTAACCTTTTCTATGTTTATCGGTAGGTCTAAAAATTATCTAATTACATGCTCCGTATACTAATGTAAGTTTAATTGCGCTCTACTTTTTTAAATAAAAAGGTTGAAAATCTTTTATAAGACTTATTAAATCAGAGAATGACATTATTATGTTAAACTCAATTTATCTTAAAGTTATAAAATATTTGTAACTTAATACTCGAGTTCCTTATATAATAAATATAAAAATATTTGGAATTTTCGTAATTAAAAATTCTCCGGAGATATTTAGAAAACTCTATATCATGTTTCTATTTCATAGTTTTTATATGTGCCAATAATGCATTTTATAATCGATTGAAATCGATTTCTTCAAAGATTACGTAGATTATCGATAAAGAAATTAATGTGTTTTAATCGTATCCGTCTATATTAACAAGGTAGTGTAGATTTGTTATCTATAAATGTTAAATAAATTATAAGTAACGATATGTCGGTTTTAAAAAAAAATATTTAATATTAATTTATTTTTGAAAACCGAAGAAGGACGAAAAAAAGATATTTTATTACACGGAAAACTATTTTTAAATAGGTGTCGTATTATTTTTTTTATTAAAGTGTCTCTATCAAATTGAATGTGTTATAGTTTGTCTGAATAAGAAAGATTTGTTTGATAAATGACGCATATGAAGTATCGAATTCAATTTCTATGAAGACAAATGCCATACTTAATAGACAGGTATGGTAGTGACGAACATACACACAAAGCGGACAATTTTAAACTATCGATATTCGGTTTAAATAATTATCAAACTCAACTAAAATTCTTATTTTCTTATTCACTAATTTAGAGGACAATTCTAGGATTGATTATAGTGTAGAGAATTTAGCGATGACAGAAATAATAGCGAAATCCAATTCGATTACGTACGGCTGTAATAGTAATAAACATGTATTTACTCTCATTATTTGTTATGGTCATTATTAATTTGAGAAAACAGGGTTTTTTATTATTTCATAAGTTATAACTATAAATCTACCGATTCCAACTTTTATAAGAATAAAAATCGATATTCGATAAGATTCCTGACTGATTACACAACCCATCCCTACTAAATTTGAAATGAATTGTCAAACTAATCTAAATTATTTAGACACTCTATAATTTTCATGTACAAAGTTAATTATTTTACGGTAACTTTTTTCGGTGACGTCACCGACCAGTGTCACACCCTGTAGGGGTCCTTCAGGGCGAGGGTTAATTGTGTTCGCGCCTCGTACTTCGGGCCATCGCTCGAATCAACTACAGCTAGTGTTTAACAGTGGTAGTGCCTGCTTTAACATGTTAGCACCGCAGGGCCGACACGCCCCCAATAATACCACCACCAGACAGACAGGCGTCAAATTGAACCAATGCCTTGTTTCGTCTGATGAGTATGGTGCCGCAAGCCTAATTTAAGTCCCTTTCTCTTTACCACCCTTTTCTTATGAGAGGATGGGAAGGGGAAGTGGATTTGACGATGGAGGAGATGCATAGGAAGAGGAAATATCCTCTTTATGTGCGTCTCCTCCTCTGTCGGATAAGGGTAGGCGACGCATCTGCAATTGCCGATGTCTATGGGCAGCGGTCGCTTCGCCATTTTGATTCAGGTGGCCGGTTGCTCGTGTGCCATCTTATGTTACAAAAAAAAAGCCCCGCGCCCTACGAGCGATTGCTCACAGTGCGAGGCGCGACACAACCGCATTAACCCTCTTACTGAAAGACCCCTGCAAGGTCTGAAACTAGTCGATGCCGTCGTAAAAAGTAGACGTAAGTAATAGCCGTAAAATAATAAGTTATAATGTCTCACGAAAGTTTAAATAATGTACAAAGTTATAGGATATTTTCTCAAATATAATCTTTACAAATTATACTTATGCCTACTTTAGTTTGCCATTATAATTTAAGAATCTGTTAAATCGAATATTAACAAAATAGTGTTTGTTATTTTTATAATGTTTAATCAGCGCTTGAAGACTTAATTTACATTAAAAATGTGATAAAAACACCTGTTTATTCTTATTTTATTGCATGCATAGTTTTGTAGTTTTAACGAGACGTACTCTCAAGTAAGGTTAAGAAATTCAACGTGAAACGCGTTAGTTATAAGTAAGACTCAAATGTACGTGAATGTATGAAAAATAAAGATATATTAAAATTAATGTGTTTGAATCAAATCATCTTATAATTGTAGGCGTTAGAGCCCGCGCACACCTATGACCAAACTATCGAACAACTGTTTAGTCTCGCTTCGATTCCTATGAGCTTATATGGAGGTAACACTACTCGATTTTGTTATGCAACTAAACAGTTGAATTTGCTGCGAAACAATCGACAATCGCGCAATAATTTGTGCGATAGTTTGGTCAAATTATCGACGACGATAACACCTTCAATTGTAAATAATAAAAAAACCGTTATTATCGCTGATTTTCCCCTTTTTTACATCTTTTCCAATGGCCATTGAGTTACATTAAAAGTATGAAAAAACCTGTACCAACATACAGTCTTGCAATAGTTACAAATAATTCTAATCAAGCATATAAAAATAATGGGTAAGGGCTCTTTCGTTCTTTTTACTTTCTAATAAGTGCAAAGCACAGATAATATAAAGCAAGTAAAACAATTCGCAATATGGCGAGGGTTTTTACAATCCCGGTCACGTTATAAATGTTAATTCCGAAGAAAAAAAATTTTATACATAAAAATAGTGCAATTTCGATAGGAACTGACCTCTTGCTTTTTAAAAACAAGTTAAATCAATAAATATTCTTACATTGCTGCATTAATTGATAGCAAATATACTTTAAAATGATTATTTTCATAATATACAGTTGCTATAGCGAATATATATTTAAAATTATCAAATAAAACAATCCACTTTCACTGTGGCTCTATATTTAAACAACTCGTAATCTTATCGGTCATAACTTCAACATAAAGAATATAGCGTAATTATAATACGTAGGCCACGTTATAACCGGTTACAAATAACGTAACGTTGCTATTAAACCCGTTAATATAAAACGATACAGTAGCTTCAGCTGCAAGCAAGTTTGAAAACTTATTTATTACACATTTCAGTAGTTGATATACTTGCGTTCAAGCTACTGGCACGTGTTAGTTACAGGCATATGCAACTGGCATGCAAGTAGAGCACGATATTTGATTTTAAGGTTTAACTTGCGGGAAGGCACGATTACCTTACAGCAAATCTCGTGAACTGGCATGACTGTTGCACGTTTATTTAACTATTTGCTTGCGACTTCGTGTGCGTGAAATTAAAAAAATAAAGAAAACATAGCTAATGTTAGCCACTAATAACGTAGGTTTTTATGAATTTTTGAAACCGTTAATTTATGGCCGTCGTCTATCGACAAGAGATTCCTCGGCATGTCACTAAAAAAATGAAAAGGATATGATGCAGTAATAAATCTAATGAACTGTCTGAACCGTTAGTTTTTACTGTCGTTTAACAATTAACAAATAACGATAAAATAGCAGTATCATTATTCAGTTACATCGTTCACATATCAGCACATCACTATGTACATAAAATTATATGATATCTAAAAGCAGACTTTATCTTGTGTTACTTTACACTTTAGTTCGTTGCGAGAATTTAACGCACAATGTATTTTTTAATATTCATTGTTTCTGTTATATTATTAATATTATATGCGGTTAAAAAGAAAGAACCGGAACCGATATTCGGTGTATACTCTGTGCCCGGCAAATGGTACTATTTAAAATATGTCGTGTTCGCTTTCATTTACTATTTTCGTAAGGTAAGTTTTGTTTTTATACAATAATGTAAACAAGACAACATTGAAACACTAATTAAAAAGTGACTTACGATAGATGTTTTTGTATCACTTATTATTGGATATTGTTCGGTACTAAATAACCGGTTTTAACAATTTTGATTTTGAATATGGCAGTATTTTTTTATTACAATACTTGCTTTCGCCCACGACTCCGTCCGCGTGGTATTAAAAAAAAAGTAAGTAGCCTATGTGTTCTTCCAGACTAACCACAACATCTATGCCCAATTTTATTGAAATCCGTTCAGCAGTTTAGGCTACAAACTCTAACAAACATCCATCCATCCATCTAAACTTTCACATTTATAATATAAGTATGATAGACTTCGTCTGCGTGAAATTAAAAAAAATATATAGCCTATGTTACTCACAGATAAATAACCTTTCTAACGGTGAAAGAATTTTTAAAATCTAACAAACATCCATCCATCCATCCATCTATTTAAACTTTCACATTTATAATACTAGTATAGTAAATAAATTAATCGCTAGGTCTTAGACTATATCTTCAAAATGCTATAGATTGGAACATCCGTGACTGCAATCGGACTTTGTACATGGCCAAGGTTTTAAATTTTTAAATACGTAAGATTCGCTTTAAAACCTAAAATGTTTAAAACAGTTGTCATTTCAACAACTTCTAGTCATTTATTGAATGAAATGTAATTTAAAAAACTATAATATACATATTAAAATGTAGTTACGATGAAATTAAAGTTGCAGATATGTAGATTAATTAATCTAATTGATAAATACATTACAGATTAGAGTTTTATCACGCACCTGCCACCTGTTGCTGCAATAGACGCATCCAAACAATAATCACAATAAAATAATATCGATACCTTTATTATTTTAAGAGAAAATGTAATTTATAAATGTACTATATAACAAATAGTATTAGAGGAGTTTGTTTTGTTTGTTTGAAGTAGTGGAGAAATTAAGAAACAAAAGTTTAGCGTATGGACATGTTATGTGACGAGAGGATGGGGAATAAAACCGGAAAGTGTTAAGATTGAATGTGGATGGCTATAAAGATAGAGGAAGACGGATGAAAGTATGGATGGATTGTGTGAAACAGGATATGCTTAAGAAGGGAGTGAGTCAGATATGACGGCTGATAGAGATGTATGGAAGAGCAGCACATTCGGTGCCGACCCTCCATAAGAGATAAGGGCAAGTTGATGATGAATTCATATTTTTGACGTGTTAAAAAAACGTCGGTTAACCACTTGACTTGTAATGTACAGGTTCCGGGTTCAAATCCCGCCATGTACCAATGCGAATATCGAATTTTATTTGTACATAATTTACCCGACGTTCTTACGTGAAAGAAAACATCGTGTACCTGCACATATCGGCGAAGAAATTCAAAGATACGTGTGAAGTCAACCAACCCACAGTGGGCCAGCGTGCATAACTATGGCTTTGGGGGAGGTTCTAAGCCTCTTAGCGTATAGTCAGCTGATGACGAAGTATTAAACAAGAAATACCACCTTTATAGTTGTTTCTGACTTTAGTACGTGAAGAGCCATGCGGCGGGCACGGACGGACGCGCGGGACAGGGAGTGAAGGCTCTCGCGGACCCCGCCGTTATGGACTGCGCACAGATGCTCAGCGACCACGCCAAGGTAGACAAACAACACTCAGATTGGGTTTAGTAAAATAAAAATAAACTAAAAATCCTTTACTGACTACATCATATTAATTTCCCTAATAACTTAAGATTTACAAAAATAAGATAATACTCTTCCAATAATTATTTAGTCCATTTTAATCATCAAAGGAGTTTCCCTACAGGCATTTGATGCGATATTCTTCATATCGGCGACCCGCGACGAAAACGACAAAGGTATCTACGTGATAATGGGTTGCGAGAGACGTACTATGGGCATGTGTAATGGACTATTTTATATCGGGGTAAGTCGTCATACGATAAATCTATCTTTTGCCTGCGACTCCGTCCGCGAGTAATTAAAAAAAACGAATGTAAGTAGCCTATGTGTTTTTTCAGATTATCCTCTACATCTACGCTAAATTTCATCAAGATCCGTTCAGCAGTATGGTACAAACTCTATCAAAAAATCCATCCATCCATATGAACTTCTTGAATTAGTCAGATAGTAGACATAGGACTGGAAAACATCTGGCATAGCGTTATAATAGAAATAAGTAACTAAAATCCTTTAAATATGAAAACATTTCGACAGTTTTTCGCAATGGGTATGCTGCCCATAGCATTCTTTAGTGTTAACAATAAACTAAGATCCGTGTATAGCTAACAGCTGTTGATTGCTTAAAGCTGTCCCTGTTCAGTTGCCTTTATTCTTGTTACCAAACCTTGATGTCACTCTTTTTTCTCCATTCCTGCTGCTGTAGTTCTTGCAACCTTGTTGACTTTGTAGTTTTTTTTAATACTTGATGTCAGTATTATTTGCATCTAGTTACCGGGCAAAGGACTCCTGTGTAGTAAGAAGATACCAGACACGGTGCTGTTCGGTGCACCAATCGGAGAGTTCTCAGCTGAAGGTATCAAAATGGAGCCAATAGAGCCGATGAAGAAATGGGCCCTCTCGTACAAAGGGAAGATGTGGTGAGTTTAAGATATTTTGACAAGAGCGTGTTAGAATCGTACTCAGATTCAATAAGTAAATGCTACAACTACAGTAATTTAGAGAGTCAAACATCTAATTTAGTTTCAAGAATCATTTGAAGTTGTATGGGAATATATTAAATATGGACGTCTGTTAATAAATGAAAGTGACAGCTAACCATTTCCTTGTGAGGCAAACCTGGATATGAATAGAAACAACAAGCAACTTTACAAAGCATATATTCATTAATTCAATTAGTAAAACAACACAATATTATAGAGATCTCATAAATAGTATTAACCAATACAAATTATAAAATACAATTCACATAATTGTCATGATTGACATTACTTGTCCAACAACCCATATATACTTTTATATACAAAATAGCTTTGTACAAATGGTAAGGTTATTACAGTTATTTATTAAGAGGTATTACAGTGAATATAAAATAGGTTACTTAACTCTCCATGGTCAGGCCCATGGTCCGCTCCTCGAAAGTCCACTCGCTACACTGATTCCACGGAAGAGAGAGTGTTCTGACCGGAAGGGTCTTTTTATACCTCTTTTACATTTTAGCTGCCAGTACTAAACATCACCACTACGAAGGTTAAATTAAGTATAAACTATTTCACACGAAATACATAAATAGAAAATAATTATCATTTTATCTCAGTTGGTATTAAGTACCACATTTTAACATCAAAGGTTATAATAAATAACACTATTTTGTCCTATCTATCAAGCGCACAACTGTTCGATTGTCGATTGTTTTGCCTTCAACTGTTTAGTTGCACAACTAAAAATCGAGTAGTGTCACTTCCATATAAGCTCAAAGGAATCAAAGCCTGACTAAACAGTTGTGGGATATTTTAATCAAAGATGTGCGTTGTGAGTCATATTACAATGTCTTACATTCTCATTGCAAGTGGTTAAGTGATTAAGTGGTCATAACTTTGACGTTTTTAAATAAGAAATAGTAATAGTCAAATATTTTTTCAGTAGAAAAAATATGTCTACTATAAGATAGTAGGTAAGACTACGTCAAAGAGTTATTTACAACTAGCTGTTGACCGCGAAATCGTCCGTGTTGTATTAGAAAACATACGAACTATTTAAATAACAAAAAGCTACGTATCCCTCGGTAACAATAGTTACAGTTCCCGTGAGATTCATTAATTTACTAGCCCATGTGTTCTTCCAGACTATGCTCTAAACCTGTGCCATGGAGATCCGTTCAGCCGTTTAGGCTACAAACATCCATCCATCCATCGTAACTTTCGCATTTATAATATTTATAGAATATAGAATAGATATATATGAAGAACGGAACCTCACTACTGAACACCTGTATCTGACTTTAATGCATTAGTATACGAAACATATTTAACTAAGTTTTTGTTTTTCAATTTAATATTGAAGGTTCCAGAACGAGCCATCAAAATTAATAGACGTAGAGTTCACCGGAGAATGGTCAGCGACAACTAATTACTTTGATTTCGACACGGATTTGCATCCGCCAGCCATCATCAGGTCCATAGCTAAGGAGAAGTGGAGTCGACGGTACTTCGAGGGCCTCAAGACGTGAGTATTCCTTAATCCAGATAGAACCTTTAATTTGAAGACTTTTAAGAAGTTTATTGCACTTATAAATATACTAACTTTCGCCCTCGACTCCGTCCGAGTGGAATTCAAAATAAACAAAAGTGAGTAGCCTATGTGTTCTTCAACACTCTCCTCTACATTATGCCAAATTTTATTGAAATCTGTTCAGCTGCTTAGGTTACAAACTCTAACATCCATCCATACATCCATCTAAACTTTCGCATTTATTACATTACGAGCTTTCGCCCGCGACTCCGTCCGCGAGGAATTAAAAAAAAACTAAATCAAGTAGCCTATGTGTTCTTCCAGACTATGCTCCACGTTCATGCCAAATTTCATCGAGATCCGTTCAGTCGTTTAGGCTATAAACTCTAACAAACATCCATCCATCCATCCGTCTATCCATCTAAACTTTCGGATTTATAATATTAGTAAGATAGTATATATAGTATGGTATATATTATTATGGTCTGATTTGGAAAACCACTTTTTCTTACGTCTGTACAACTATTAGTACATTTTCTCTTGTAAATTGTTGCAATATTAAAAAATAATGTTTTTTCAGAGCACATCAGTCGCATTACGAACAATTCGGAGCACTCAAATGCAAATTTAAGTTAGAGGAGGAATCCTTCGAGTACACGCTGCCTTCCTTCAGAGACCACAGCTTCGGTAAGTAGTTTTAGACAACTTATCTAATTGATACTGTCGCTTTAAACTCAGAGCAACACTTTTCGTCAAGACTCAAGTTACGCGCCAATCTATCCATACTTCTAGTGACATTGACAGCTGTCAGCTAGGGACGTGACGTTTATGCCGATAATCTAGAGTTGCGCCAACTCTACAGCACGGTACTAATTTTATTCCTAACAGTAGTTACCTCAGGTAGAGTACTTATCTAGGAAATACGGGAGCGACAGAGCGGGCGCACTTTCACCAAACTATCGCACAATGGTTGTACGATTGTCGATTGTTTCGCAGCATTCAACTGTTTAGTTGCACAACTAAGTATTGAGTAGTAACCTTCCTTATAAAAATCAAAGCGAGACTGAACAGTTGTGTTATAATTTAATCATAAGTACGCGCTTTTAAATGACGAACGATAACCTGATGCGCCGACAATCTGAGATAAGAATAAGATCTCGCGACTTCCCGCTGACATTAAAAAAATAAATAACCTAAGTTACTGATGCCGCAGATATTATAGATTTTTGAAATCGGCCAAATTCGTTTTTGAGTTAAAAATAAATACAAAAAAACAAATCTTTCCCCTTTATATTAGTAAAGACTAGTTGTTCCCGTGCGACTTTACCCGCACAAAATTATGAAAATTCTATTTCATTGTTTACAACTGTCAAATTATCAATTGCATGACAATAACAAAGCATGGCAACCTTGCTTCCTTAATGTTGGCAGCAACTTATGGTCTCTTTCCCACATAAGGGTTTTTATCCAAAATATCTACCCCCTAAGTTTAATAGTGTGAAAACATATAGCCTAAAGCGTGACGTAAGTGTAGGGCTTTTATTAAAAAAAATAGTTATTCAAAAATATGCTGTAAATGCTGACATCTTAGGCAAACAAAGAAGTGTGTGTTTACGCTTTATTATAATAGTATAGATTATTAAATAAGTCTAATGTGTGTCTTTAAAGTCAGTATTTATGGTTGATACACAAAAAATATATCTACTATGTACTAAGGTCACAAGCGTGACTGGAGCCTGATGCACCGGTACGCGTTCCACCACATGTTCCTGAGTGACGGCACCAGCGTCAGCGTTGGCGTCATCTGCCAGCCCCTCACCGCCTCCACGTCTGTATACTTCTTATAATATTCTTAGACAAAGTTACAATTGTAGAAACTTACTTATGTTAACCCTTCTTACGTCATGTCAAGTCGCTTGCACTACTACCACCCTACCCGCGTTCCATTATCAGAGAAAACCTAAAAAGACTTCTACAAATATGAAGAATCTTCCCACATATTCCTGAGTACTCTTACTTCTTACGAAAGTTTGGATGTTCAAGTTTGTAACCTAAACTGCTGAACGGATCTCGATAAAATTTGCCACAGATGTAGAGTCATAGTAGTAGTCTGAAAGAGCACATTGGGTATAAGCTTTAGTTTTTTTTTTTAATTCCACTGTTAAACACTTTACATAGATCTAATGTGACGAGTGTTTCAGTATGGAAGCAGGCGTAGTGGCACTACCCAACGGGGAGCTGCACCCCGTGCAGTGGGTGGAGCTGCAGCTGTACCAGCACGGGGAGGGCGGCGCCGCACCCAGAGACTACGCCTTCAGGTTCCAAGCCGGACACAAAGTTTATACAGCTCAGGTGATCTAATAGTTCATATCTTAACATTAAAATATTTTATGGAATAAACGTTGTGAAACTTATATGTGTGGGATTTAATCGTAATTTCTGTTTTCTGTATCTTAGAAGGAAAATATGTGCAGGGAAAATGGATTTGACGGTAGAGGAGATGTGCATAGGGAGGGGAAATATCTTTTTTATGTGTGTCTACTTCGTTTACAATTGCGGATGTCTATGGGCAACGGTCGATTCACTTTTTAAGAAAATTCGGATAGTCACTACCTTTGCCACCTTATAACATTAAAAAAAATGCGGTGGCCACTTACTCGTTTGCCACATTATCTTAAAAAGACTCTAAAATAAACTATTCTCAGTTCAATAAACATTAAGCCACTCTGAATATGGAAGTTAGTATTTAAACAATGGCGAGATGTCCTTATGTGGTTATGGATTGGCCATACGCTTCGCCGGGACCCTGG